TGGGTGTCAAAATTGGATGAGGCCCTACAGATAAAATCAAAATTCATTCATCCTTTTATTAAGAGCACTTATACCACATCCTTATTTTTTTAAGTGGTTTTTATTTTTCAAAGAAATCATACCATTTAAAGTGGTTGTTATTTTTAAAGAAATCATACCATCTAAAGAGGTGATCCATCAAGCGTATTCTTAATGGCATGTGATAAAAATTGAAGCATTTAAAGAAATGTTGATAAATATCTATATTGAAAGTATGGAAAATACTCCTCAAAATACGGTCACGAGCATTTCCTCCACAAATCCAGATTATTTACCTGTAAGGCATTGCACTTTAAATAAGAAAAGATATGAGGAAATTAGGCAATTAATAGAAGAAGCTACTCAAGATAAAGAATTGATTGATCATATATTATCTGGGATTCGAAGAGTAATGAAATTTGATCCTAATACAAAAATGTACAATGAAGCATCTAAAAGAGGAACTTTCAATTATAGACAGAGGAAAAAAGAAAAAGAATACAACATGAGGAAAACGTAATTTGATACCTCAACTTTAATAAAATTACTTAAAGATTTTTTCTTTCTATAATGTACAACGCGATGTACACTATTTCAAAAAAGGATAATTTTGTTAAAGAAAATGAATTAGAAAACAATGTTAAAGAGACCCCCATCTCTGAAGACATTGTTGTGCAACCTTACATCCCTAAAGAAAATGAGGCTACTAATAATATTAAAGAAAATGAAAAAAGGATTTTTGCCGTAGAGACCCCCATCTCTAAAGACATTGTTAAGCAACCAAATCACCTTTCTGATATGTGCCTTGAGACCGCCATCTCAAAAGTTAATATGTTAGAAGATGATTCAGTTAATAAAAATAAAGAAAAAATTTTAAGTAGTTTTAAAAAAATTGAGTTTTCTTATTTTCGCACAAAGGATGAACTAAACAAAAACAAAAAGCAAGAAGATTGTATTATTTTATCTCGTGATACCGGTTCTCCTTATAAACCTGCTAAAGAATTTGCATGGTTAAAAAACTTCCAAGAACTAATAGGTGTACATAACACTCATAAGTTTAAGGGTCACCATTATGAAGTCATCTACGACAAAGAAACTTGTCCTTGTTTCTTATTTTTTGACATAGATCGGAAGAACGATGACAGTATGGAAGATGTGCAAGAATATTCACAAAAGCTTTTAGATTGCTTTCTTAACGTTCTCCAAAGATTCCTCCAGCAACATCAGGATTTGAATGTTGATCTTGAAGTTGGCAAAAATGTTCAAGTTGCTTCTTCTCCAAAACCTTCCAAGGTTTCTTTTCATGTTAAAGTCAATTGGTTGTGTAGAAATTTATCTGTTATGTTTCACATTGTATCCAATTTACACGGTTTTATCCTTTCTCCCGCTCACACTTCTGACGAAGAAAGATGTTTTCTTACGATTACAGCTCCTTGTGATTCAAATTCAAGCTCTGTGTGTATTATTGACAAAGCTCCCTACAAAAATTTTCAATCTTTCAGATCACTCTACTCTAGAAAACTTGGAATAGGTTATCAACCTCCTTTAGAACCTTACAAAAATTCTTCTCCTCTTGTCCAAGACCATTTTGTACAATTATACGATAAATCACAACTCAACAACCTTGTTGGAGAAACCATAACAAGCACAAACTTTTTCAAAGCCGAAATCCCAAATCACCTCAAAGTTCTAAGGTCACATTTGAAAGCTCCACAATTCAAAGCAAGATGTAATGATCATGAAGAGACAAATAATGCCCCATCTGATTTTCCTATAGGTCATATTGGCTCTATAAAACAATAGTTAGAAGAATCAAGTTACACAAGAGAGCTTTTGAAATCAGAAAATACATTATCAATAAATACATATTTGTTCAGTCCAACCATCGTGAATTTCTCTTTTAAAGGCCATTACTGTCCATATGCAGATAGATATCATAAATCAAATAGCTCTTTCTTCCAATACCATTATAATAAGAAAAGAATTTATTACAAATGTTTTGATGAAGAATGTCATGGCAAACAAAGTATTTATTTTCCTATAGATTCCACCTTTAATACAATTTTATCTGTATGCGACTATAATGGAAGACAAACACTTCACTGTAGAAATGATGTTATAAAGTGGAGTGAAGAATACAACCTACCAGAAATGAAACATTACCCTCTTGTCCCCATGTGTATTGTTAGAGCAAATATGGGTGTTGGCAAAACAAAAGAACTCCTCAAATCTCTGCTGCCAACATATTGTTCTAAAAAGAAAACTCGATGCATATTTATCACATACCAGAGACTTCTCTCTGTCAAATATGCGGCTGAGCTAGAGAACTCAGGATTTAGGAATTATTTGGACTTAGATCAAAACATCTATGATGACAAGATAATTGTATGTTTAGATAGCTTACATAGAGTAAAAAACAATCTCTTTGACTTCATTATTGTGGATGAAGTAACTAGCGTCCTTTTACACTTGAGCAGTTCATTGATAAAAGATACTAGTTTGTTATGTACAAAATTGGAAGCCATGTTGTTCAATGCAAAATACATATATCTTTTAGATGCTTGTGCAGATAACACTATAGTTTATGACTTTGTTAACATGATTTCTTCAAGAAAGAGGGACACAATTCCATATTTTATCAAAAACACATTTGTTCATGAGACTAATCGCAAATGTAATCTACAATTTTGCAGTACCAAACCAGCATCTAGCGTATTAAAGAGAAGGATTATGATTCAAGCAATAAATAAGTTAAAACAAAACAAAAGAATTGTAATAACTTCGAGCACAAAAAGCTTTAGTGAACAAATATATCATTTTTTAAAAAAGAAGTTCCCTAATAAACGCATCTTACTTTATCACAGAGAGTCAAGAAATAAAATTGATACAGACAACATCTTAAGTTTTAATCAACTTTGGAACTCTTGTGATATACTCATATACTCTCCAAGTATTACAGCTGGTGTAAGCTTTGAATTACCACATTTCCATTCATTGTTTTCTTGCATTGAAAACACTTTCTTGACTCCACCAGTTGATTCTATTTTGCAGCAATTGTTTCGAGTTCGACAACTAATTGATGGAGATATGAACTTATTTCTCTATGATTCAAAAGATGAAGAAAATGCTCTTCCAGTTACTAGTGTAGATGTTGACAACTACCTAGCAAAAGAGGCAGATGATTTTAATAAACTGTATCCACAAGATAGCCAAATAAACGTTTTTCCTCCTCGTTCATATGATTGTGATTCCAACATTCATTTTTGTAAAAATACAATATCTTACAGTATTCTTAGGGGCATAATGTTAAATAAGAACAAGTCAAAATGCTTTATGAAAGACATCCTTACAAATTGTCTACAAGAAGACTATCATATACCTTGTAAATTAATTCAATATCCTCCACCATATGCTAATCATAATGGTGTAAATGACTACATCAAAAAATCTCAAAACATAATACGTAAATTGAGCGAAGAATGCAAACCTCCTGAAGTAACATTTAATAATGATTTACTCATATCAAATGAAGTACATCAGCATCTAAATTCTAAAAGTATCCATCATTCTCTTGAACCCATTGAAAAATTGCAAAAATGGATTGCAGATTGTTGTTCAGAAGACTTTTGGTGCGTTCCACAACACAAAATTGATGAAACATTTTTCTCTACCTTCATCAAGGTGCCAACTCAATACAATGTAAAAAAGGCTTTCAATCTGTTTTTCAAAGCAAAAAGATGTCAAGATTTGTTTGAATTGGATGTTCAAACTAACGTACTTCGACACAAAAATGACATCAAGTTTTTGATGACTAAAAAAAATAATGATCTCGAAATATACAAAAAAAACAACAAGTACTATGTTTTGCTTATTGAAGGAGAAAAACTACTAACAACTTTCAACAAAAATTTTAAAGACATAATTGTCTCAACAGGAAAACTCACTGTAAACAAGGAAACTTTCTACCAATCAATCAGTGATTACATTCATACCTTAGATGATAGCATGTTTCGTTTTCTTCCGCAGTGCTTTGATGAAAAATTTCAAATCAATAAACAAAATTTACTTCAAAACCACAACACACCTTCCACAAGAATATCTTTGTGTTCTTTGGCAAAAACGTTTCTGAAAAATGCCTTTGATGCTGAAATCCAAGATAATGGAAAACACAGCAAAGATATTTCATTCAACAATTTCAAGCTTGCACTCAATTATAGTGATAAGATGGCATTGTATAAACCATCTATTGATGACTTTGATGGTTTAGATGATGACATTAATGAACAAGATCTTGAGGATGATTCATTACTTGACGTTGATTTGGATATAGATGAAAGGGAGTAAACAGTCCTAAACATCAACAGCAAGAGTAGCAGCAACTCTCAATACATTGCGGGACACATCTGCCTAGCAACCTTGTCGGCTTTTGTGGCTAGCACACAAGCATGCTTCCAGGCAGAAGCCCCATATGCAAGCCCTCTACATCACTTTTTGTGCTCTCTCTTTTCAATCACCACTCAAAGAATTCTTAGAGGCCTTTAGATGCTCTTTAACCCTGGAAGGAGCTTCGCGTTCAGCTTTGTTGCGCCTCCCATGAATGACTATAAAAAGAGGATGAAGTTATTTTTTCCAATTAATCAATTGGTTGCCCTTCAACCATTTTCATCAATGGCTATATATAAATATAAAAAGTGGATGAACCCCAACCTCAATTAATAGAAGGAAAATTGGATTTATTTTTTCCAATTAATCAATTGGTTGCCCTTCAACCATTTTCATCAATGGCTATATATAAATATAAAAAGTGGATGAACCTCAACCTCAATTAATAGAAGGAAAATTGGATTTATTTTTTCCAATTAATCAATTGGTTGCCCTTCAACCATTTTCATCAATGGCTATATATAAATATAAAAAGTGGATGAACCCCATAATAGAAGGGAAATTGGAAAGGCAACCCATGTTTCAAAAAAGAAAAAAAAAGATGCCAGTGAGATTCGAACCCACGTCTCGTGATTTTTCCACTTGCCTGCGATACTTCAGTCACTGGCAACAATGGGAGGCGCACTCTACCATTGAGCTATGACAGTATGTTGTTGCGCATCTCATTTTTGTTTACATGTATAAACATAAATATAGCAGCACCTCGGAGAGGTTGCATCTTGCTTGGCCACTTTGAGTGTGCCCGCTTGCAGATTTCCTTCTTGCAAATCCTTTTAAACGCACGCTAAAAAACTCAAATCTACCACAGAGATGTATTGGCTTCTTGTAAGAAAAAATGAAAAGTACAAGGTATTATCACAAAATGACACAAGAAGAAACTTGTTCTCAGGGGTTACCAAGAATAGTTACATAAAAGCCTTTCTATCTGATATGGGATTGATACAAATGTACCTTAACAACGGTCCCTCACTAGAAATAGACTGGCATGCTGCAAATGATGCCCCTTCACAAGAATAAAGGCTGGAAATATAGCATAGTAACATCACCGATTTTGAATGCGGTGAAGGTTGGAATTTGGAGTGGAAGCATTATTAAATTGTATAATCGTAAAAGGAGTAAGTTTGTAAGTGAATGGGCTAGAGCGCTGTTATGATGTTCCACTTGTTAAAAGAAAGGATGTCAAAACATAGATGGTGTATCAAGTGTTGGGCTAATAGGATTTGAAAACGTGATGGACTTGTAATGTTTGCTATAGCTTACAGCGGCCTTTGTGAATTTCCAATTGTTATAATAGATAAACAACATCTATTGGGTGTCCCTAAGGGACCCCTGACACTCACATCGCCCTTGTGGTTTTTCCAATTGTTAAAGGGTGTAAAAAAATAAAGCACTTTGAGAGGGTACTAAAAATTTGAAATCACTTAAAGAGAGATGTGTGTACATATAGTGTACCCAAAGGCAAGATGCCATTCATATATCTTGTTCAAATACCGGACTATGAGTGCATAAAAATAGGTATTTCAATTGATTCGACATCAGAGATAGATAAAAGATATAAAGATTATTATGGTGAGAACACCAGAGTATTAGCTTTTCCACATGTGAGCATTGAACATTTAAGACAAACTGAAAAAGAATTCAAAATAGGATTTGGGGATAGAGAGATGGGAGTATGTGGCAATTTATTTACCAAAAAAATGTATAAAGAATATTTCTACTTTTTGTTTGGGAGAACTGATGATTTTCTTGAGGCAAAAGACAACAGTCACGAGATGTTCCAAAAGGAATCTCCGCTGCCTGCCGGATCAAGCAAATTAATGAGGACATGTATGAGAAAGAAAGAATTGAATGACGTATTGGAAAAAATAACAGAAAAATTGTACAAAACTTTACTTCTTTATGATCATGCGGATACATTCTGGACAGAAGAGGAGTATTTGGAGGATTATGAAGATTCTCTCTATCATGACAATATCCTTCCAAGTACTTCTTACATTTACAAAGAGGAAGATGTGATAGCATGGATGGATACAATGTTGTATATCCCTGAGCTGTTACAATTTTCAGCATATAAGACATTGATGTCACCATTAAAACATGGTGTGCTTGATCAAGTGTTTTTTTTGATAAAAGAAAAGAAACTGAAAAGACATGAAGTAATGCACGAAGAGTTGGCAAGTGAAATTTTAGACAATGCGTTTGACAGTATTGAAGACTTAATCCATGCTCTGTATGAAGAACGTGACAAGAGAAAGCAAGAACAAAAGTGGAAAATAGGAAGATACTCAGTAAAAGAAGGCATTGATGAAGTATTAGAGAAAGCCAAAGATAAAATAATAAATGCAATATTGGAGGAGGGAGAATTGAGCGACAGAATTGGTGAGAAAATTGAAAGTGCAGTATCAAATGAACTAGGAATAGAAACACCTAATTCGATAGTTTTAAGTAAATGCATAAAGAGCAGCATCTTATCACAACTGCTAATCTGTTTTAGTTACTTGTTTGAAGGTGAGTTTGGGGGATTGGAAAGTATATTGAAACCAATAGTGAGCAATGCAATATACAAAGTAAAGATCAACGATAGTGATTTGAAAGAGAAGTTAACACAAGATAGATTAACGCCAATAATAAAGATACAAGAAGTTTGGAGGAAAAGTCTTTCAAATCCAAATTATTTGATATGTAAATGGAGATTGTTGAGAGAGTTTGAAGAAATGGACGAGACAGCAGAGGAGCTTCCGCAGTTGATGGTGTGGTTAAGAAAGAATGGTGTGAAAGGTGAAAACAGTTGAGCTTGTGAATTTGCATGATACATCTAGATAGATGATACAAAAACATTTGGGATACCCATTATTGAAAGGCATCCTGATGTATACGGGCAAGAAGATAAAAATTGAAGCACTTAAAGAGATGTATATAGTGCATATAGTATACAAGATGCCATTTATTTATTACAACAAGGTGTATTTAGTGGTTGCACCAACTCTAAACATGGTGAAAGTAGGGAAATCAGAAAAGGACCTTTCCAACTTATTTAAGAGGTACAGAGTAATGTATGGAAAAGACACAAAAATCTACGTGTTCAAGTGTGAATTGATGGATGATATAGAAAAAGAGTTTTTAGCAAAATTTGATGATCACACAAAGATGTTAAAAGGAAAACTTTTCTCCAAGGATCTATTTGAAGAGTATCACACATTTCTTTATGATAAGAGTGAAAAAGAGTATTACACAATATTAACATGTGAGAATGAAAGCCCTGAAAAGTTGGAGGAAAATATAGCAGATAGAAATGTTAGCATTCCACTTGAGTGTCGTGAGGATAATAAAGAAATGAGAGAAAGTCAAATGGATAAGAGTGAATATTTTTGTATAGTAACCTCTCCTGATGTGGATGTTGTAGCATTTGCAAATCGGAAAGGAGGAATGAAAAATGTAGCAGCCGCGTTTTCAAGTTATTACGGCCAACATACTGAAGTGTACTATGTGCACATAGGTGAAGAAATTTGCAAAGATTACAAAGAGAGAATAATGCATGAATTCAAAGAGTATAAGCTTGATGATTATAAGTATAGCTTACTGTACCAAAAAGAAAATTTACCAAATTACAAAAGGTTCATTAAGAGAAGCACAACTGCTCCCTTAATGTATGACAAGAAGCCCATGAAATGGAAAAGAAATGAGTTATTTGATCCAAAACGCAAGGGTGCCGAACATCAAAAGCGATACAAATTACTACAAAAAGATATCTATAAAGGGATTCTCCCTTTAGAAATATTCGATGTAGACACAAAAATTGTCATTGATGTAGGAGAAGTTGGTGCCATAGCGTTTGCCAATTAATTTTCAACTGTTTGCGTCCCTGAGGGACTTGTAATGTTCGCTGTAGCTCACATCGGCCTTGTGTTTTTCCAATTGTAAAAAGAAGTTTTAATAGACAGATGATATATCATCTATTGGGATACCCAACGCCCCTGAGAGACTTGTAATGTTCGCTGTAGCTCACATCGGCCTTGTGTTTTTCCAATTGTTAAAAGAAGTTTTAATAGATAAATCTAGACAGATGAGACATCAACTATTGGGATACCCAACGCCCCTGAGGGACTTGTAATGTTCGCTGTCGCTCACAACGCCCTTTGTATTTTCCAATTACTAAAAGAAAATATTTCAAATAAATCTAGATAGATGAGATATCATTTATTGGGATACCCAACGCCCCTGAGGGACTTGTAATGTTCGCTGTCGCTCACAGCGCCCTTGTTATTTTCCAATTGTTGAAAGGAGATTGTGTTAATAAATCTAGATAGATGATACATCATGTGTGCGGACACCCAACGCCCTTCAGGGACTTGTAATGTTCGCTGTCGCTCATAGCGCCCTTGTTATTTTCCAATTGTTAAAAAAAAGAAATATCAGATAAATCTAGATAAGTGAACACATAGATCCTTTATCAATCACCTTACAGGAAATTTTCAATAACAAAGGGTGTACACATCATAGATCAGATCACTCCAAAGGCCTTTGGACACCCTTATTACACATATGCCGAGTCCTAGAAGGGAAAATATAGATAAAATCCAAATAAGACTATGAGTAAGGGGTGTTGATAGACGTTTTTCAATTACAGGGTGATAGAAGAACGCAAAGGTGCAAAGTGTCCCTCCTATTCCTTTATGACAAGGGAATTTCCTGTGCCGATTATTAATTGGAGTTTTATCAATAGCCTATTAATAATAGGAATTTTGACATTCATTTTCTAGATTAATATCTATATTTTTCCGATATTTTCTAGATAAAGATAAGTTCATTAACCTCGAGGTTAATGAACTTATCTTTATCTAGAAAATATCGGAAAAATATAGATATTAATCTAGAAAATGAATGTCAAAATTCCTATTATTAATAGGCTATTGATAAAACTCCAATTAATAATCGGCACAGGAAATTCCCTTGTCATAAAGGAAGAGCCAGCCGATAAGCAACTGGGTTAATGCGCTCAGTGACGGTGAGTGGGCCTAGCCATTTTGGCATTAGTTTGGGAGTGCCCGGCATTTTGAGTCGGATGTTTTGTGTGCTAAGCATCACTTTATCGCCAGGCTGAAATTCAACGTGGCGATGCGGCTTGTCTGCATAAAATTTTTGGCGTTGTTGAGCAGAGTGCAAAGCTGACTTTGCAGATGCAAGGGCCTGTTGCATTGAAGAGATGTATTCTTCGACGGCTGGTAGTTTGGAAGGGGTTTTGAGGCTCCAGGAGAGCTTGGTACGGGGGTCCCGCCCAGTGTTAAGTCTAAAGGGTGTAGTTTTAATTGATTCTTGATATGAGTTGTTGATTGCAAATTCTGCACAAGGCAGAAGTTCATCCCAGTTGTCTTGTTGAGGGCTCACATAATGATGCAGCATTTCTTCAAGAATTCTATTGGTTCGTTCAGTCTGTCCATCTGACTGTGGGTGATATGCTGTAGAGGTGTGGCTTTTAATTCCAAGCTGCTTTTGGAGGTCTTGCCAGAATTTGCTGGTGAATTTGGAGTCCCGATCAGTMACAAAGTGGTTTGGGTCTCCATGCAGCTTCCACACATGGTTTCTGAAAAGTATCGCCACTTCAGAGGCCTTAACAGAGGTGACAGTGGGTATAAGATGCACCATTTTG